TATGAAAAACACAGTAGGAGTTTTACTCCCTGCAGTGCTCGTTAGATAGAAAGTTTAGAGCAGAAACATAAGCCAGTAACAAAGTTGTTATTGAACAGTTTTGCCACCGTTTGAGAAAAACAAACAAACAAGAGGTTGTTCTCTGTTCCTGCTCATAGCCGGTTAACCTGCAGACCTCCCTGACCTGTCGGTGTCGTTGACTTGGCCCCGAGGCAGGGCAGCTGTTCATTTAACTGGTAATTGAGTGCCACTGACATCACTTTAATGAGACAGCACTAATGAGTGCTGACAGCTCAGACAGCACACAGCCATCAGCTCACCTCCAGCAGGTTCAGCTGGCCCAGAGTACAGAGAGCAGAGAGTGCCCTCCTCTGGTTAACACAGGAAATGACCACTACAAGGACCAGATGTGCTTCAACAAATACATTCCCCCTGTCATGTCCTGTCTTTGTAATCTGTTCATATCAAGTGTTAGGTAGAGGGATGTTGCATTTTAATGATCACATGTGGAAATCAATAATTGTAATCATTATGAAAACAATTAAATAGCCATAACCTCAATAGTTGAGTATAATAATTATTTAGCTACTTATTAACAATTTGAATTAAATCAAATGAAATTGTTGCATTTATTATTAACTACAACATCTCTTAAAGTTAATATTTAAAAGCAGTTATTTATTGCACATCTTTTCACATCCACTAGAGGGAAGCATCATATCAAAAGTCTTTAGCTGGTTCAATACTACATAAAGATTAAAACGACATGACAAATTCATTTGTTACAGTTTCTGCCAACATGAAAGGCTGATATCTGTATTTCTGTCACATAATATGGAACTGAGAGAATTGAGAAAGTAGTAAAAACATGATTTTAAGCTTTTTCTCCTGCTGTCAGCGTGTCCTAAAAAAGCTGCATGTGAGTGTAATGAAATGTAGCAGCGGCAGTCAACACTGAGAGGGGAGCAAGGGACAGACAGATCCCCCCCCCCACCCACAGACAGTGGGTTGTAATTATTGGAGCCACTGCCACAATGGTTCAGGAGATAGAGCTGGTCTAATCAGACAGTAGGCTCCTCCAGTCAGCATGTCAAGTATCAAAATACTGAACCCCAAATTGATCCCAAAGGCACAGCCAGCCCTGTGAGGATGAGGATTAGATACAGCTCAAAGGGACCTTGTACATGTTGGCAAGTGGTGTAAAAGAGCTTTAAGTGAACCAAGCGAAGGGATTGCAGTGACTTCCTTCCACCACGCTGAGGCCTAAAACTGAGATTTCAATGAGGTGTGATGAGTCAGTGAACCAGCAACAGCCATTCGTTCAAATGTATTCTCACGCTTCCTTCATGACTTTTTGGTATTCAATGTTCAGAGGCAAGGAAGATACTGAGTTGAGATGCAACCAGGGGCGGACTGGGACTAAAAAGCCCGGGCGACCGGCCCAACTCGGTACCGCTAGTCAATTGTCAACGGAGGGGGGGGGGGGGGGGGGGGGGCTAGTGTTTTTAAAGCAGAGGTCAATCATTTGTACGGCCCTCGGAGGATGTTGGAAAATTGAAATGGCCATTTTCCCCACCCCTGGTCTAAGTACTAGCTGAATACGAATACGTCCCATTAGGTTATCCTCTTTCCCCTCTTAATCCCATTCATTCTAGTGCTGTGTAGACTATTACACATCAACAAATGAAGAACGCAAACTATTTTATTCCTTAAAGTGTACAGTACAACCAAGCCCAAACAGAGCAGAACATTTGCCTCTCACAAGACTGTTTGTGCCGTCACCTAGCTGGGAAAATAAACGGCGATGACAGGTGATGGATTTAAGTCATTTATAGCCTAATGGTTTGGCCGACTTAAAGGAAGTGGAGCATATAATAAGCCTTGTTATCGGAGATATAGTAACCCCCTGGGGAGGGCAGCCAGCTCAGCCAGGGATAGAAAGGTTGATGTGTTAATTTAAGGGTCAGAAGTCAGTCCAGTTTTTCTGAGGTGTTTTATTTTAATGTAAGTTTGAAATTGACAATTTACACCTACATTATAAAAGCTTGGGCTCAGACAAGCTAAATTATACATTAGAATAATATAGTATGTGTGTTCATTATTAAAAAGGGACCCATAGAGAGCAACTGATTAAGTTGCAATACAAAATGAATAACCTTGTTTGTGTGCTGCTACTACTACTAGTTTGACTTCACAGACTATGCATACAACATAACTGAAATGCAGAAACATTGGCTACTTGCATGCTTAAGATGTATCTGTTGCTCCTCTGAGTCACCAGATCAACGTATGAAAGCATGAATCATGACACGGACGAGCAGATGGGCCAAGTATGTGAGAACGGGGGACCTTGTTCTACAGAAGTGAGACGGCTGTCCAAGCACTAAACAAACAAAGAATAATGTGAAAAGACAGCCTCTGAAATTGTGCACGAGCCAGTTGGGGATGCAGCCAGGCGTGTGTTTATTCAGCCACAGGCACGAGTCATCTATTGCTAGCAATTCCCTGCATCATGAACACTGTACGCAGTATTTGCTTTAACACGCTCATGAGGATGTGTGTCTAACTTGTTCCTTTTACAAATCAGGAGATACAGATATATTGTCATTGAAGAAAATAATTCCCACAATAATCTAAGTTTAGGGACCCACACATAAACACCATTATAGAAGCAATAATGTGAGAATAAATGTCAGTTTCAGGAAAATGAAGCACATACACAAGCATTTAATGACCGAACACACATGAAGGTCCTGACGTGCAGGATGACCTCTCACTCCCACTTCATTAAACTAAATAACTACATTGAGTTGCTTACTGTCATGCTTGTGTACAGCAATGTCACACTCATTACCAGAAAAAGGACAGCAAAGCAGATGGGCAAACACGATTAACTGAGCCTGGAATCGCTGCGCGAATGTATGTACAGCCAAGATACAACCAGCAATTTGAGGCTCAGCCAACAGAAAAAGACACAGCCTTCAGATCTACAGTAAATACAAGATGAAAGTTATTTTGTATATAATGAGAAGACCACAGAGTGTAGGAAGTAAGCTGTTTACATGTATATAAGAGTGATTCTGTAAAAGGAAGAAAAACCCACATAAAGTACCAGAACTAGGATATTGCTTTGTTTGCAGAACTTGCAACTGATAACAACTTGATTGTGAGATCAGGCTCAAATTGTTAAACAACTTTATGCTGCTTGTCCTTATGCTTGTTATCCCTGAACCATGGAAAAGTGAACCCTCTCCCATGTCAATGTTTAAGGAACAAACACAAACAGCCTTGCTTTCAGCTCGACCTCTATTTTCAGTTTATTCAAACAGTTTTGAAAAGGCTTTATAATACAAAACAAGGTTGAGGTGTCATCTCTCTTCTACAACGTTTACAGTACCAGCTGCTGTTTTCAACTAAAATATTCAAATTCTAATGTCGTGAATAAAAAGTTAGCAACTATAGAAGATAAACATAGTGGAAGATGTAGGAGCTAGAGTAAGATATTTTTCAGGTGCTGATGGTGCCCACAACACGCTAAAAAGGAGACATACATTCATCATCAAATCACCTGAAACACGGCCCCATATGAATGACAAAGTTCCTTAATGTTTGCTACATGAAGGTAAAAAAAGGCAATGTTTTTCCCACGTTCACAAAAAACAAATGTATGGGGGGAAAAAGTTAATCGGAAAGGTTCTGCTGCCACCAAGCATCAAAATAATTCTAATTCAGTCTGAATAAGACTGAATTAGTTAATAGAAAATCCCTCGACAACTTCAAATCCCCAGGGTAAAAGGGCCAAACATTTGCCAGACCATAGTGAACTGTTTTCAAATGTATCACTTTAGATATTAGATGCACTGCTCAAAATGTACTACTGGAAATGAATACACAGAGGTTGCACATAAATAGAGATGTATCACCATAGCAAACAGCCAGCAGCACATGGCCTGCATGCATAAACCATAACTGCCAATAATTCATATTCATCGTTGAATTGAATATGAACCGCAAAAGCAGAAGTCAGCAGAAGCCAAAAACAGCCCAAACTAGCTCACTGGCATCCCTTAGCAACAAACACATGTACTGAGCCAGAAAGCAATATGTCATTATCAATGAATGAAAGCTACGCAGCACAGCAGCATACACTTAGCAAACAATAGTTTATAATCTAGTTTAATTTTCCTAATCTTTCAAGTGGAACAGTTATAAAAATTGTTTGTTTTTTAAGTGTATAAATTCATTTAAAATAGAATTTCTGGAAATGTAAATAATTAAAACATGCAAAGTAGTGTCTGCAGAGCCTTTTGGAGGATTATACATATGGCTGTGTGTGTCTGTAACCTTTCACCTCATTAACTCAAAGTCGGAGAGCAAATTAAGTTGAACTTTATACTATCTATGGGAGGACTGCAGAGACTCAACGATGTGTAAAAAAAACCAAACACCCAATGTAGTTTCCCTGTTCCTTTACTTTGTGGAAAGGGCAGAAGTAAAAGGGCCTCTCTCTCTGGAATTAATTAGAAAATCTGCACAGCCATTATTGGCAATTTGTCATTACTGACAATTTATAGGATGGCTAGACAGCTGCACACGTGACCACTGTTACAACAGATAGACTGGTTTCTCTTGTACTAGTAGCCGGACCGAGAATAAATCTCTTTCCATCAAACACTATAGATCATATCCATGATTTCGTCCTAGAACTAATCTGAGACCAATCACTTTTTGCATATGAGTAATTTTAACTTTCATCTTTTCCTGGTGGTACCATTGGGCATGTTAATTGAAATATTTGGAGCTGAAAATGAATAGTGGTCTGTGACAGTGGTAAATGAGTCTATCCTGTATTTGAAGTAAGGTGGGAGCTTTTTAACTAATGTAATGCTCATATACCTCAGTCTTCACTAAAAGTCTTGTTTTGTGATTTCAGTTTTGTTTAGCACCATCTACTAACATAGAACATTACAGTGATTACAGGACTAAAACAAATGACTTACTGCTGCTCCCATCAGCAAGGTGATCAACAGACTCCGTCTCAGACATGACACCTGATCTGGAACAAATACAAAATGCTTTTATCTATATGGCAATTCCCAGTAAATGTACAACACTATTCACTGCTTGCTTGACAAACAGTCTGGCAAAGAAATGTATGCATCCTCTGGCATCTTGTTTGTTGTTGTGGGTTTTTTTAATTGAGAAAAGTATTTTAGCAGCGTTTTCACTGAACAGCACAGTTACTGAAACCACTGAAGCTCGATTTGCTATTGCACACAGGGCATGTCTAAAAGTGGGAATCATATTATCTTTAAAGAGCAGAGTCATATGAAGTATGCTTCGAGCATCACACTTTAGAATTGTTTAGCTATCAGGAAGGATACTCTGAAGGATGAATGTGCAACAGAGCCATATGATTTTTTATTATCTGTGGCATAGATGTTACTACGGAGCCCCCCTGGTGACATTGGTGAGAAAAATATTAATACGTGGCCACGTATTAATAATGCGTGGCCACAAATTAGTTATTATGTTCCCACGCATTAGTAATTCGTGGGAACACAATAATTATTACGCAATAACTAAATCCAGATAGTCTATAGAAACTATAGGTTACTTACGTAACCCCAGTTCTCAGAGTAACATGAAGTGAGATGTCTCACTATGGGATGCGCCTCATCGCGGAGCAAACAGAAGCATCAATCTCATTAGGCCAATCCTGATTGGCTGGTGATCTTGACGTCAACGTCAGGGAATCACCCCCTATAAGTAGCTTGCGCCACGACGCATGCGTCATTCAAAATAAGCACCTCTTCTCGCTTCACCATAGCAAGGAGGGCCGTCTGGTGAGACATCTCACTTCATGTTACTCTGAGAACTGGGGTTACGTAAGTAACCTGTAGTTCTCATTCATAACACTCCATTCGATGTCTCACTATGGGAAATTGTAGCTCCCGTATTGCCAGATGAGCTTATCTAGAAAATCACCAACCAACCAGAACTTAACAGGTAGAGTCCCGACTCAACAAGGTGCCCAGCACTGCTCACTGAGCGGAGACGTCTAGCCTGTAAAAGCGGACAAAAGTGAGCGGCGAGGACCAGCTCGCCGCTGCACAGATGTCTTGGATGGAAACACCCTTGAACAAAGCCCAGGATGTAGCCAGGCCCCGAGTCGAGTGAGCCCGCAGACCCGAAGGTACTTGCAAACTCTGACTCGTATAGGCCAAAGCAATTGCCTCCACAATCCAGTGGGAGAGCCGTTGCTTAGTAACAGGCTTGCCCTTGTGAGGGTTAGCTCAGGACACAAAGAGTTGGTCATTAAGACGAAGCTCCTTTGATCTGTCCGTGCGTAAAGCACGGACTGGACACAACAGATCCTGCTGCTGTTCCCCGGAGGAAACCAGCGGCGGAGGAAATGCCTCAATGTCAATTGGGGTACACGAACCAACCACCTTTGGTGTATAGGCAGGGTTGGGCTTCAACAACACTCTCGTTTGCCCTGGGGCGAACTGAGTGCATGAAGGATGTACAGACAGCGCATGAATATCACTGACCCGCTTGGCGGATGCCAGGGCCAGTAACAGCACTGTCTTGAGTGACAGATGTTTCATGTCAGCTCCTTCCAGGGGTTCAAATGGGGTCATTCTGAGCCCAAGAGAGAAGGCAGAAAGCGTTTTAGGGTGGGGAACCCCGCTAAAAGCTCCGGGTGATTTACGTGCGCCCGCTGGAGGTCTCTGCTCCAGAGACCCCTCACCGGGCGACCTTCGTAAATACCCTATCAGCCTGTCAGACATGCATCCGTGGTGACCACCTTCCGTGAAAGGACAGCACCCGTAGGCGCGCCCCGTACTAGAAAAGTCGGGTGCGGCCAGTGGCGTAGTGTCACTACGCATTTCATAATAACCAATACTCTCCGCACGCCGTGGCGCGCGGGGTTTCGTTTTATTATGAGACCCATGTTGAGCAGGTGCTTTACGAGGACATTTGTCTGCGTAATCTGACTCTGCTCGGCGGGCATTATAGATAAAACCCTCCTTTCTAGGAGAGAGAATATGGGTTGACTCTCCCCGGGCTTGTGAATACAGATAGCCCGAGAAGCGAGGGGGGGTGACGGTGACTTGGAGTCTGTAGCTCCGTGTAACTGTCTTCTCCCGCTGTATGCTCCTTAGAGCCAGCTGAGATGTCACATCTCTTCCCCTCTGAGTCTCTATTTGTTGTGTTATGGGGCCCTCCAGTGTCTGAGCACTGTGGTGCCCCATTTCGACAATCCCCACCGACACAGCGCATGCGTGTGGCGGTGGTGCCCTTATGGCTCCAGCCGGCACTGCGCATGACGGTGGTGCCATCACAACCCCAGCCGGCACTGCGCATGCGTGTGACGGTGGTGCCTTTACAGCTCAAGCCGGCACTGCGCATGCGCGTGACGGTGGTGCCTTCACGACCCCAGCCGGCACTGCGCATGCGCGTGACGGTGGTGCCTTTACAGCTCCAGCCGGCACTGCGCATGTGCGTGACGGTGGTGCCTTCACAGCTCCAGCCGGCACTGCGCATGCGCGTGACGGTGGTGCCTTTACAGCCCCAGCCGGCACTGCGCATGCGCGTGACGGTGGTGCCTTCACGACCCCAGCCGGCACTGCGCATGCGCGTGACGGTGGTGCCTTCACGACCCCAGCCGGCACTGCGCATGCGCGTGACGGTGGTGCCTTCACGACCCCAGCCGGCACTGCGCATGCGCGTGACGGTGGTGCCTTTACAGCCCCAACCGGCACTGCGCATGCGCGTGACGGTGGTGCCTTCACAGACCCGTCAATTGTCCGCCCTTTGAGAGAGGCCGTAGCTGCTCTCAGAAGGGGAACAGTTGACGGACTGTTTATTGTTTTTCTTTTCATTTGTTCGAGCTGCGCCCTTGGCTCGAAGCCTGGATGCGTCAGCGGAAAATGTTTTATGACAGAAAAATCAATAAGTGTGTGACATGTGTTTATGCGGACTTGAGGATGGTGTTGAGGCATCTCTCGAGGCGGCGGGAACACATTTAGAGCTGGGGAACCGTAGACTTCCAGCTCTGTCACAGAGGGGAGAAGGAGGGGCTGTCACGCCGCTCGCTTCTTCTTCCTCGACTGCTGGCCAAAATTCTGGGTTGGCTGCGCCTGGGCTGCAGCCGGAACCAGAGATTTTCTAGGCCAGCTCGCCCTCGTCCCCTGCCTGGGCTGGGGACTCGGGGCGGACTGCGACCTCTGCGTTTTCGGTATTTTGAACCAAGCAGGGTTCGGGGCAGCTTGGACGAAGGGCTGCCGCTGCGAAGGCAGCGGCTGGGCCCTTCGAGGGAGGCAGAGGTGGAGGGCCTCGTCCTCCTTCTTTTTCGACTCGCATCTCCTCTGCATGGAGGCAAGAGCGGAGCCGAAAATCCCCTCGGGAACGATGGGCATGTCAAGCACATCCTCCTTTTCCCGGTCTGGGAGGTTGGTGAGGTTGAGCCATCTAGCTCTTTCCTGCACCACCATGATCCCCATTGTTTTGCCCGTGGCCTGGACGGCGCAGCGTTGGACACAGAGACAAATATCTGTGACCGCGGCCAACTCGTCCAGAACGGCCGGTCCAGGATTACTCAACATATCCTCACAGAGCTCCGCTTGGTATGCGGTTAGCAGTGAGGAAACGTTCAGAGCCCTGGCGGACAACGCTGCGGCTCTGTAGGACCGTTCAGTCATGGTCGACTGGAAACGGTCCACCTTCGCTGGCAGCGTGGGGTTCCTGCTTGGTGACGGGCCCATCCTCGGTAGGAGGTGGGCTGCCACCAGCAGTTCCATCGGCGGTATGCGGAGCAGGCCGAGCCTCTCCATACCGTCACAGTCTAGGGAGGAGGCACCCTGGATTGGGGCCTTGTTCCTAAAGGGTCGGTCCCTCCACGAGACCGACACCTCATCCAACATCTCCGGGAAGACCGGGAGGAGTTGCCTCCTTGTCCTCGTTGCTTGGGGAGAATGTTTCCCCTCATAACGGGACCTGGCGGTCTCCTTGGCCATTTCGGGCCACGGGATATCTAGCCTGGACACGCGGCCTGCAGGTCCATGCTCAGACAGGGCGAAGCTGGTGTGCTATCGCCCGGGAGAGCAGCCATCGCTCCCAGCTTTGCCGTTTGAGCCGATGACATGAAGATATCTTCTTCTTGCTCATCCGAATCAGACAGGAGGGACTCAGAGGTGTCCTCTTCGTCCTCCATGTAGTCTAATTCCAGGACATCCTCCGCCGGCGAGACCATGGTGAGGTCTCGCCGGGAGCTCCCGCCTGGTGAGGCGTGGGGCTCCGTTCCCGCGTCTCTTGCCGCCACCGGGTCCCGGCCTGACACAGCGTGGGATCCCGGTTCCGCAGCTGCCGCTGTTAGTGAGCCCCAGACCGACACAGTGAGGGGCTCAGTCTCTGCGGCGGACGCCCCCGTGTCTTGATTGCCAAACGGCGAATCAGTGGACATGAGGGAGTCCTGTTCCAACAAGCTAGCTTGGTGTGCTAGCCGTTGGTGGAGGCTCTTTCGGGTGAAACGGGCACAATGCCCGCACGAGCCGGGGTTGTCGATAGCCTCCTGGGCGTGTTCCAGCCCGAGGCAGGACGAGCAGACCCGGTGTGAGTCTGTGCCTGCTATCTTCAACCCGCAGCCGCATGACCGAGCCTCCGAGTCCCTGACTCCTCTGGTGTGAGGGGGAGAGGCGTCCATCTTGTTCGCCTCGTGGCGTGGAGAGGACCCGCTCGTAACAGGTACGTCGTTGAGAGAAAAGTGTTACCAACCCGTCCTTAATCCGGAGAAAAAGGGACGGTGTGGGTCCTTTGTTCTCAAAGAATATTGACTGGTGTGTCAATATACTTATAATCCTTTTCTCCTCCGTGAGAGAGAAAAAGAAAAGCGTCCTCGCTACCGTGGTGTCGGTAGTAAGGGGAAGCTAGCAACAGGTGCGTAGCTAGCTTGAGAAAAATCAAAACCTTACCTTACTTTCCGGGGAAAGAAACGGCGAGGTCGATTTTAATACTAACTGGCGTTAGTATTACCGTCTTCTTGCGAAGCAGAAGGAGTAGCCGGCGAGCGCCCGTCGACCGAAATGTTTTGGATTTGGGTTCAGTCTGTGGACTGTTAAGCTTGTCCGGCTACTGTAGAGATGTGCTCTGAAGCGAGAAGAGGTGTTTGAATGACGCATGCGTCGTGGCGCAAGCTACTTATAGGGGGTGATTCCCTGACGTTGACGTCAAGATCACCAGCCAATCAGGATTGGCGTAATGAGATTGATGCTTCTGTTTGCTCCACGATGAGGCGCATCCCATAGTGAGACATCTGAGACACAGTGTGCATCTGGACCCGGTAACGACATTACCTATTGACGCAGCAACCACTGTAAGTTATATTCTTGTTTAATTAGACTTCTCTGTTTCATTTATTCGACTCTGTATAAATTGTTATTGTAGCTTTAACGGCTAAATCGCGTTTGAGAGATTTTAAATCTCAGATCTGCTCAGGCGAAACCTGCTTTACAGGTCTCAGCACTCAAGCCTGCATTAATATAGGCACGGCCAGTCTACTGATAGCGTGAAGTACAACCGCGTGACTCAGTCATTTTGTACCTTAAAAAGCATTTAAATAGCGCATTTAAAATCTGATGAACTCAGTGTGCATCTGGACCCGGTAACGACATTACCTATTGACGCAGCAACCACTGTAATTTATATTCTTGTTTAATTAGACTTCTCTGTTTCATTTATTCGACTCTGTATAAATTGTTATTGTAGCTTTAACGGCTAAATCGCGTTTGAGAGATTTTAAATCTCAGATCTGCTCAGGCGAAACCTGCTTTACAGGTCTCAGCACTCAAGCCTGCATTAATATAGGCACGGCCAGTCTATTGTCGCCCATTAGCTGTAGATAGTTAACTAATTAGAGGGCCGTGGCCCTACAGCTGTGTGAACTGAGCAATCAGGCGTCCATTTTTGGGTAGCTCTTTCCTGGAGCGTCAGCTTCAGCGTCAGACAGCCGAAGACCGACAAAGACATTGGAGTCCTGCGGGAGTAAGACCGACAAAGACATTGGAGTCCTGCGGGAGGCAAAGAGGGAGGCAAAGAGGAGGCAAATCCTACTCTGATTGAGCTGGTGTCTTATTTATCTTTTCTTTAGTTTTCTAGCCCCTCATGCTATAATCATGTGTATTTTCTCCATTCCTGTTCATGTGTCTTCTCGCAATTATCACTGGCCCCGTGTATCTCCTAATCGATATAACCGGCCTGCTCTCGTCTATCCCACGTGCTCCACTGAGATCCAACATCTAGTTTCAGGTGGCCTGTGGAACTGCCAGTCAGCTGTTCCTAAGGCTGACTTCATCTCTGGCTACGCCTCCCTGCAGTCTCTGGATTTCCTTGCTCTCACTGAGACCTGGATTACTCCATCCAACACATCCACCCCAGCAGCTCTCTCCACTGCATATTCCTTCTCCCATACACCCAGACCCACTGGCAGAGGAGGTGGCACTGGTCTCCTGCTATCTCCCAAATGGAGCTTTTCCCTCTTCAAGCTACCTAACTTCACTCCTTCCACCTTTGAATTCCATGCCGTCACAGTAACCCATCCTATACAGTTAACCATTGTTGTTCTCTACCGTCCACCAGGCGCCTTGGGGGACTTCTTGGAGGAATTAGATAATCTCCTCTCACTCATCCCTGAAACTGGCCCTCCCGCTGTACTTCTCGGAGACTTCAACCTCCAGACGGGGAAGATAGACGAACTAACATCTCTGTTAACCGCCTTTGCTTTCTCACTGTCTCCGTCCCCACCGACTCATAAAGCTGGCAATGTCCTTGATCTCATATTCTCAAGGAACTGCTCTACTTCTAACCTCTCTGTAAACCCGCTCCACACATCCGATCACTTCTTCATTTCATTCTCTCTATCCCTTTCCAAACATAACAAACTAATCTCTTCCCATCCTGCACTTGTCCGCCGTAACCTTCGCTCCCTCTCCCCCCCTACCTTTGCCTCGTCGGTGCTCTCAGCCCTCCCTTCCTCTGATTCGTTCCATCTCCTGCCTCCAAACTCTGCTGCAGAAACTCTCCTCTCTACTCTCTCATCCACTCTGGACTCGCTCTGTCCTCTCACATCTCGGCAGGCTCGTCAGTCCCCTCCTGCTCCCTGGCTAAATGATGCACTGCGTGCTAATAGAACCGTCCTTAGGGCAGCAGAGCGGAAATGGTGGAAATCCAAACACCGTGACGACCTCCTAACCTATCAAGCTCTCCTCTCCTCTTTCTCTGCTTCGATCTCTCAGGCAAAAAGCACTTTCTTTCAAGATAAGATCCAATCTTCCTATTCCAATCCTAAAAAACTATTTTCCATCTTCTCCACCCTCTTGGACCCTCCAAAAGCCCCTCCCCTATGGGGGTTATTCCCTATCTTTATTCAAGAGCGTGGTATTTAAATTTGAGAGCATACTTTATGTATTTATTTCCCTCAAACCCTGTCCTCACACTCAAATAGTGCCTGCTTGCACTTAGATGTGCTCTGCTTGTGCTCAAACTGTACGCTTGCACTCAGATCTTTTGCTGCTTACAGATTTGTTCTGCTCTCAGATTTATTCTGTGCGCGCTCGAAACTTTTGTGCAACAATCCTGTCAAAATCCCTCAACCAATAGGAGGCCAGGTGTCCTTGCGGGTGCGTTCGCTTTACTTATTACAGCGTCCCGTATAACTCTTTAGTTCTCATGAACCAAGTACAGATCGCGTTCACACCGGAATAAATCCCTGGGGGTGGATTAGGCAAATGAAGCCGCTGACGTCACTTCTTCTGCTTTGGGTTTACTGGCAGGCCGCAAACCACTTCACGGCGCCCAAAGTCCCCGGCCGGAAGTCCCCGGAGTTGGGGACTGGCTTCACTAAGCTGCTGGGACTCCCAGCAGCTTCTACTGAAGCCTTCCGAGTAAATCGCCAGAACGCCGACACCTCCTCATCTCCACCGCTCCCATGTTTTATTTTGTGTTGCCATAAATTAGTCTCTCTGCGTTTCTGCGCTGGGCTAATGCTAATAATGCTAATGCGAGGATAATAAAATGGCGGCTTCACAAAACTTTTTGGGAGTTTTACGGGGCGTGGTTTGCAATCCGCCCAGCCAATCAGAAATATAGCTCTTTTCTCACAAGAGAGCCGCACGAAAGTCCCTGCTAAAAAAGGTTCTCATGAACTAATTTTAGTACCGGCTCTTTTTGGTGTGAACGCGACAAAAGAGTTCTCATGAACTAAGTTCTCATGAACCTTTGTGGGAAAAGTACTGCGGTGTGAATGCGCCTAATGTAATGTCTCCAGTTTGGAGGACAGCACGTATTGGCTTTTTTTGATCAAAATGTGATTGTAGTTCGTTGTCAACCTTACCACGGTACTTAGGAGACGTCATTTGTGTCTGAACAACGTTTTGTTCATGAGTTATTGATCCGTGAAATCTGAATCTGCCAATATCGTTCCAACTTTACTCGACTTGTTGTCACTCAGTCATCGGTTTCTATAGACTATCTGGATTTAGTTATTGCGTAATAATTATTGTGTTCCCACGAATTACTAATGCGTGGGAACATAACTAATTCGTGGCCACGCATTATTAATTTGTGGCCACGCATTATAAACTCGTGGCCACGCATTATTAATACGTGGCCACGTATTAATATTTTTCTCACCAATGTCACCAGGGGGGCTCCGTACAATGTAATACAGTGATGATCCCTTATTGTTAAACGCTAGGATTGGGTGTGGAAACCCTGAAAACTACACTTATTGACATACTGAGCCATTTCACATTTCCCACACAGGTGATGAATCTTCTGTGCACATACCTTTTCTCCTTATCGTGGAGTCAGACGCTGGCCAGCTCCATGTCTGTATGCGCAAATTAGCTAGCGGTTTGGCTAGCCGGCATGTTTACGAAACTTCACCACGTTGTGTGAACGTGCGACGTAATCTTGTCAGAAAGACGCTTAAACTCCTGAGTCTATTGTTGAACAGCAGGCTAGCATCCCTTCCGACAAACACGTGTGTGGCGTCTTTTTGACAAGCAGTTAGCCATTTCCCCCCGGAGAAGCACTAGTTTAATCTGAGACTGTTAGCTATGGTTTGGTTGAACAATATCCTCGCGTTGAGATGTTAAATCTCACATTTTCATAAAAAGGCAGTATTTTAAATGTGTGTTGAAGATAATACACTTTGTTCAGAGTGAACTCACTAACTATCTTATTTTAAACAAACACTTACACTCGTGCAAATCAGCCAATCAAGACACCGGCATCACCGGTCAAATTGGGTACAGATGTCTTCTACGCTTTCATTGCGGATGCGCAGTTCTTCCACATTGACATTGCAGCGTCCTCTTGAGCGCGTTAAAAACAACGTTTAGACACTTGTCGTGGTAAGCGTAAAGTAATACAGACGGTTTAGAGCATGGTGGTTACTTTATTCAGGCTTGTACTTTCCATGTCATTTCGTAGTAGCATCACCAGTCGTGTCCACATCCGGTCTCATCATCCTGTTAGCTCTATCACAATAAAAGCATAACAGCTAACACCCTTTATACAGTCTATGCTAACACCACATCTCCCTTTCTTAAGAAAACAGAACAGACTGTCACATGTATATACTGTGACTCAGAAAATGCAAAATCAGGTGATAAACTGAAAACTCTGCAAGAACCTCAGAACATGTCATCACACTTATTTCTGCACAATCACATAGCTATTTACTCAAAAATAGAACATTGCACTCTTAAGGCTTCTCATGAAAAATAACAAAAACAACCACTGAGTCAGGCAATAACTTTGTGAGCATAAGTGATCTAAACATCAAAACACAAAATGATTCAACATTCTTCCCTTTTCACATCATCTTTTTTTTCACATTCATTGTCTCCCCCCCCCCCCCAGTTCACAAGTCCAGTTTGTGAGGTTTTACCACCACTCTGCCATACCTAGTGGTAGGGCCGTGTGTGTGTGTGTGTACGGACAGGTGTGTGCCCCTTGGGAGTCTGTGTTGGTGACTCAGGGCGTTCTGGAGAACCCAGTGTAGGCTCACCTGGTTGGGGTGGTGTGCTGGGTGTTGGAGTGTGAGGTGTGTGTGGTACAGTCTCTGGAAAAGGGACAAGATGGTGTCTGTTCCGCCTGATGGTGCCTGAAGGCCCGTCCACTATGTAGGATCGTGGAGCTGAGTGCAACGAAACCACTGTGCCTTGAGACTTTGTATCTGTAATCCACACTGGCTGACCTGGTGTGAGCTGACTTAGGCAAGGCAAGGCAAGGCAAGGCAAGGCAAGGCAAGGCAAGGCAAGGCAAGGCAAGGCAAGGCAAGGCAAGGCAAGGCAAGGCAAGGCAAGGCAAGGCAAGGCAAGGCAAGGCAAGGCAAGGCAAGGCAAGGCAAGGCAAGGCAAGGCAAGGCAAGGCAAGGCAAGGCATAGGCAAGGCAATTTATATAGCACTTTTCAACACAAGGCAATTCAAAGTGCTTTACAAAAAATGAAAGAGATTAAGAAAATGGCATTTAAAATCAGTCATTAAAAAGAAAAACTAATAAAATAAACATTAAAAGAAAAAATACATGGATAAAAGTTACAGTGCAGTCAATTAAACATTAAAAGAAAAAAAAGTACATGGATAAAAGTTACAGTGCAGTCTAAGATATGAATAGTTCAATTAAAAGCAGCGACAAAAAGAAAAGTCTTCAGCATGGATTTAAAAGTAGTCAGAGTTGTAGCGGACCTGCAGGTTTCTGGGAGTTTGTTCCAGATATTTGGAGCATAATAACTGAACGCTGCTTTACCATGTTTAGTTCTGACTCTGGGGACAGTAAGCTGACCAGTCCCTGAAGACCTGAGAGATCTGGATGGTTCATAATTTAGCAGGAGGTCAGAAATGTATTTTGGGCCTAAACCATTCAGTGCTTTATAAACCAGCAGCAGTATTTTGAAATCTATTCTTTGACACACAGGAAGCCAGTGTAAAGACTTCAGAACTGGAGTGATGTGATCCACTTTCTTAGTGTTAGTGAGGACTCGAGCAGCAGCGTTCTGAATTAGCTGCAGCTTTCTAATAGATTTTTTAGTGAGACCTGTGAAGGACACCATTGCAGTAGTCGAGTCTACTGAAGATAAAAGCATGGACAAGTTTTTCCAAATCCTGCTGTGACATTAGTCTTTTAATCCTAGATATATTCTTTAGGTGATAGTAGGCTGATTTAGTAACAGTTTTAATGTGACTGTTGAAACTCAGGTCAGAGTCCATGACTACACCTAGATTTCTGGCTTTATCTGTTGTTTTGAACATTGCACTGAAGCTCAGCGCTAACTTTTATACGTTCTGACTTGGCTCCAAAAACCATTACCTCAGTTTTATCTTTGTTTAATTGGAGAAAGTTCTGACACATCCAGTCATTGATTTGTTCAATGCACTTACTCAGTGTTTGAATTGGAGCATAGTCTCCTGGTGAAATTGTTACGTAAATGTGTGTGTCATCTGCATAGCTATGGTAACTTATTTTGTTGTTCTTCATTATCTGAGCCAGTGGTAGCATGTAGATGTTAAAGAGAAGAGGCCCCAAGATGGAGCCTTGAGGAACCCCACATGTCATATTTGTCAACTCAGATGTGTATTTACCTATAGAAACAAAGTTGTTTCTGTCCTTTAAGTAGGATTCAAACCAATTTAGAACTGTTTCCGAAAGTCCCACCCAGTTTTCCAGTCGGTCTAGTATTATGCTGTGGTCAACAGTGTCAAACGCAGCACTGAGATCTAATAATACTAACACTGAAGTTCTGCCACTGTCTGTGTTTAAGTGGATGTCATTAAAGACCTTTACAAGAGCAGTCTCAGTGCTGTGGTTTGGACGAAAGCCTGACTGGAACACATCAAAACAGTTATTTAAATGCAAGAAATTACTCAACTGTTGAAAAACAACTTTTTCAATGATTTTACCTAGAAATGGCAGGTTTGATATGGGCCTGTAATTGTTCATTACTGAAGCATCTAGATTATTCTTTTTTAAGAGCGGTTTAATGACTGCAGTTTTCAGGGCCTGTGGAAAAATACCTGAGTGAAGAGATTTGTTTACTATATGAAGTAGATCTGAGGCCATGCAAGGCAAAACATCTTTGAAAAATCCTGTTGGAATAATATCAAGGCAGCAAGAGGAGGATTTCAGAAGTTGAATAATGTCCTCTAGGTTTTATCATTAATCTGATGGAATTGTGTCATGATGTCTGAATTGATGTTAAGTGGAGATAGGGACAACACATTTGCTGTTCCTGATGCAGAGGCACTGACTGCTTGTCTGATTTTCTGAATTTTGTCAGTGAAAAAGGAGGCAAAATCATTGCACGCCCTGGTGGATAGAAATTCAGAGGCTACTGACACTGGGGGGTTAGTTAGTCTGTCGACGGTAGCAAACAAGGTTTTTGTTTTTGGTAATGATGTCAGAGAAGAACGATTGTCGTGCGTTTTTCAATTCCAAATTATAAAGGCCAAGTCTCTCTTTATAGATTTCAAAGTGGACCTGGAGATTTGTTTTTCGCCACCTGCGTTCAGCTTTTCGACATTCTCTTTTTTCTGTTTTCACGGTCATGGCCTTTCTCCATGGAGATATTTTCTTGCCAGACACTTCCTTTAACCTAGTTGGAGCAATGGCATCTATAACATTTTTAATTTTTGAATTAAAATGATCTACTAGCTCATTTACTGAGATGTTGGCAGGGGCAAGTGTGGAAGAAAAATTCTGAGTAAACATTTCCCTAGTATTTTCAGTTAAACATCGCTTTGTGGTTACCTCTTTTTGAACATTTTTGTGAACAGAAATAGAGCTCTCAAAGAAAACACAGGAATGGTCAGAGAGTGCAACATCAGTCACCACAACCTTAGAGATATTCACACCCTTTGAGATAATTAAGTCCAGAGTGTGCCCCTTATTGTGCGTGGGCTCCGTCACATGCTGAGTCAGTCCATAGCTATCAAGAACACAAAACAGTTCTTTAGCCCCTCTGTCCTGGGGGTTGTCAACATGGATGTTAAAATCACCAACAATGACTAGACGGTCAAAGTCAATACACACTATAGACAGCAGTTCAGTAAAGTCATCAAAAAAGCTTGCACAGTATTTGGGTGGTCTATAGATATTTAGAAACAGAGCTCGAGAGGAGCATTTCAGCTGAAGGGCCACATATTCAAAATAATCAAAGTTTCCATACGATGTCTTCCTGCATTGAAGGGAATCATTGAACAGAATAGCAACTCCACCCCCTTTCTTATGCATTCTTTCCTGACTCATAAAACTAAAGTTGGGAGGGGTTGATTCGATAAGAACAGCTGCACTGTTATTTTGTTCAATCCAAGTTCCTGTTAAAATCATAAAATCGAGATTGTGCTCAGTGATAAAATCATTGATTAAAAATGTTTTTCCTGCCAAAGACCTGACATTTAATAAAGCTAGTTTAAGTTTGTTAAACACACTATCAGTCATGTTTTTTGTAACAAGCTGTGGCTGACATGGAATCACTGCTAAATTAGATACACTCACACAAACGTTTGAGCGCTTCCTGTTTCTATGATTCACCGCTCTTAATCTATTACCTATCAACACAGATTACATTACATTACATTACATTGCATTTAGCTGACGCTTTTGTCCAAAGCGACTTACAATAAGTACATTCGACCAGGAAGACACAACCTTGAAGAAAACAGAATCATATAAGTATATCAGGTTTCATAGAGCCAAACATTTCAAGTGCTACTCAACTGGCTTTAGGTAATCCAGTCCTTTATTAGTATAAAAGTGCTTCGTTAATCGTTCTAACGCTCGAAGTGGAGTCGAAAGAGATGAGTTTTCAGTTTGCGCCGAAGATGTGCAAGCTATCTGCCGTCCTGATGTCAATGGGGAGCTCATTCCACCATCTTGGAGCCAGGATAGCAAACCCACGTGTTTTCGCCGATGGGAACTTGGGTCCCCCCTCGCAGCGAGGGCGCAACGAGTCGTTTGGCTGATGCAGAGCGTAGTGCACGCGCTGGGGTGTACGGTTTAACCATGTCCTGGATGTAGGAAGGGCCAGATCCATTCGCAGCACGGTAAGCAAGTACCAGTGTCTTGAAGAGGATTCTAGCAGTTACCGGAAGCCAGTGAAGGGAGCGGAGGAGCGGAGTGGTGTGGGAGAATTTAGGAAGGTTGAAAACCAGACGAGCCGCTGCATTCTGGATGAGCTGCAGAGGTCGGATGGCACATGCAGGTAGACCAGCCAGGAGGGAGTTGCAGTAGTCTAGGCGTGAGATGACGAGAGCCTGGACCAGAACCTGAGTCGCTTTCTGAGTCAGCTGGGGACGTATCTTCCTGATGTTGTAAAGCGTGTATCTGCAGCAGCGGGTTGTAGCAGCGATGTTTGCAGTGAAGGACAGGTTGTTATCTAGGGTCACACCCAGATTCCTTGCAGTCTGAGTCGGGGAAACAACTGAGGTGCCGATGTTGATTGTCAGGTCAAGAGTTGGACAATCTTTTCCCGGGAGGAAGAGCAGCTCAGTCTTGTCAAGGTTGAGCTTGAGGTGGTGAGCAGACATCCACTGAGAGATGTCAGCTAGACAGGCAGAGATGCGTGCGACGACCTGGGTCTCTGAGCGGGGAAAGGACAGAATTAATTGGGTGTCGTCAGCGTAGCAGTGGTAAGAAAAACCATGCGGGCTAATGACTGATCCGAGCGAGTTTGTGTACAAGGAGAAGAGGAGGGGACCAAGAACAGAGCCCTGAGGGACCCCCGTAGTTAATTGACAAGGGTCGGACTCAGACCCTCTCCAAGTCACCCTGTAGGTACGGTCTTTCAGGTATGAGGTGAGGAGGGAAAGTGCAGAGCCTGAAACTCCAAGTTTTTGGAGAGTGCGAAGGAGGATCTGATGATTCACCGTGTCGAATGCAGCAGACAGGTCCAACAGGATGATGACAGAGGAGAGGGATGCAGTTTTGGCAGTGTGCAGTTCCTCCGTGACAGCAATGAGAGCAGTTTCTGTGGAGTGACCTGCCTTGAAACCAGACTGGTGCGGATCCAGAAGGTTGTTCTGATTGAGATAACAGGAGAGTTGTTTAAAGACAGCGCGTTCAAGTGATTTAGACAGGAAGGGAGGAGAGAGACAGGCCTGTAGTTTATAACATCAGACGGGTTGAGAGTGGGTTTCTTTAGGAGAGGGTTTACTCTTGCCTCCTTGAGACTGTTTGGAAAGTGACCAGAAGTTAGAGGAGTGTTGATGAAATGGGTGAGAAACGGTAGAATATCAGGAGCGATAGTCTGAAG